TTCAAGACGAGAGTGCAAAAACCATACCCTGTTTATAACCAAAATGGCCAAAATTGATACCCTATTTATGACCAAAACAGCTGAAAAACCTTACCCTTTGGGGCCGCACACACCTATATAGCCCATATAAGGGAGTATTCCCCTGCCGGCAGGATTCTTGGCTGCCAGGCACATAGTCACAGTTTATCAGTTGCTGACATCAGATTGCTAAGCAAACATCACTACCACTGTTTGCAACCTCCCTGACAACCATAAGACCCATTACAGGTGCTTACGATCTGTCATTACACTTCTTTAAATTATCTCCATATGTTCTACATGCAACTGATCTCTCAATCTTCAATTCTGTTACTTATATGACATGTAACAGGATGTCTCTATATTTGCTGTTACATTTAGAAATAAATGCCTAAACTAATTAAATTGGGTGGTACTCAGACTAAATCAATCAACAACCCTGTAAATTTAACCCACATCCATCATTTGTGGATAAAAAATTGTATTCTCTCCTGGTATTCCTCTACTATATTTAACCTAATGTTCCAGCCTTGATAGATCTGTCAATTCCAGGCCTGCCCATGCCCCTACTGGGGATTTGATGGGCATGTGACAGGTTGTAGATCCCCACCATAGGGCATTTGATCACAAAGGGTTGCAAAAGGTTGCCTGGGGGGTGGGGCATTTGACAATCAAGCCAAATACAGAGAATAATAAATCCGTACTTTTTAAAAACAAAAGCCTGCTATGTTAAACATCAAAAGGATTAACCCTATGTAAAGGATGTAGATATTAATTCTCTTTTTGACATTTAACCCATGGGAAACTAGCTCATGCCCCATCACCACCCGCAAAAATTCATGTTGGTCTTTCACGTGCATGAGAACTGATGCGGGAAGTAAGCATGATGTGGGTTGTTGGTTGAGACAAAAGGGCCTAGAAGGTCAAAGGTAAGTTATTTACATTTTCATAATGAAAACAGATTGTATATTTGTTTGAAGCGATAAGACTTCTTCAAAGAGTTTTTTTTTCAGCATTGTCTTTGTAATTTTGTCTTTGTTTTTGCAAAGACCAGACCAGTGTGCATAACTTTTGAAAATGTTTGAATCAATTTCAATATTCTGTCTACAACACCATACCATAAAGTTGAGTTCATGACTAACAGTCAAAATCAAACTGTAGTAAGCTATTTACCAAATAGATGCTGTTTCTTTAACAAAATATTAGATCTTATATGGACACGAGTGTTTTACTGGAAAATGCACCACTCGTGAAATTCATACGAAACCACATCCGGGACTTGAGTGGTGTATTTTCCATATCCTCACTAGTGAGGATATCGATGATTTCACTGATGTCAAGTTTGTCTCTTAAATTGTTCTTAAGTTTGTTGGTGTATCATCGAAACATCTTCGGGTCTTCCTCAAAAGTCTTCGGCAACCTTCGGAATTTTTCGGAAAATGTTTAGCAACATGAGTGTGACCTTCAGATAAGTTATGGAGAATCTTCTGCAATCTTCGGAAAATTGTCAAAAATGCCCTTATCAGTATGTCTATATAATAAAAAGAACATTACACTTTAGCTTGAAGATATGAATTTTATGTTCTCGTGGCAAGAACAATATCTCACTCATTTACTGCACTCACTTGTGAGATATTGTTCTTGCCACTCGAACGTAAAATTCATATCTTCTCGCCATTGTGTAATATCCTCTATGTATTAGTACTCATCAGAACATGGCAATATCACTATAAAATATAGTTTGGACGCCATCAAGCTTGAATTAACAGAGCCGTAACACCCAAAATTACCACATTGTAATTTGATATGAACTACACTTACTCATGTTTTGATACACAGGTTTGCTTTGAATACCTTCTACTTATAAAGTTTATGAAAGCACTGCCATAAATCTCTATCCTGTTTAGTATAAGTTGTTCACTGTAAACAAAATGGTAAATAAATCAAACACTTTGATGGCTACTTATCTATGTACAGTTCTGGTATCCACCTGGGATGTAGCTAGCCATTTTTGGCTTCCAAGCCTGTTTCATACCTCATAAATGCAGTGCAGCTAGGAAAGGTGGGGGAAGTCAAGTAGGCCAATGATTTGTTCGATTCATGCCTTATTACAGCTCAAGGTGGCTTATATATTTGTAGTTTGCAATGGCCTATGGATAAGGTGAATTGCCGCTGATCAAACACGAGTTCAAGCATTTTCTTAAGACATGATTTTCTGCATTCATTTTAAAGCAGCCAATCAGAAACCAATTTTTTTGCTATCATGATTACTTTCGGTTTTTTTCACTCTTTCTGCAAAATAAAATTGATATGTTTAGTGGGCAGGCCTTGTCGAACGTTGTACAAATACCTAAAGAAAAAGATAAAAATACTGTGAAAGCATTGCTTCGCATATTAGATAAAACAGTGAAAACTTTTAACAAAAGCTGCAACCACTGGTGCACCCATTACATTAAACAGTGCAATCTAAATAAATAACTAGATGTGGGAAAGAAACCCAAAAAAAAGGTTCAGGACACAAGCACTTAAATGGTTTCCTTGAGTAGTTTTTTTTTGTTTTTGTTTTGCAGTTTTCTCTTCTTAGAATGTTTTCTTAACGAAGTCACCCCGAAAACTTGTTCTATGAAAAGAAATATAATTTACAAGAACTGAAAAAATAAATATACCAAGAAAAGTTTGTAAGCCTGGGCTTACTGGCTTAAAGGGAGCTACGCCCCTGTCCATACAAAATTAAGTTCTCATAGGAATAAAGATGATTTCATCAAATAGAGTTTTTGAAAGCATTGTCATAATCTCTATCCTATATAACATGAATTTTGCACTACAGGAAATGGTAAATGAGACAATTAAAAATCCATTGATTGTCAAATATCTCTAGTCCTATTTTTGGGTGGCTCTGAATACCTGAAAAAGTACTGCAAAGCTCCCGCTGGAGACCTTTTGAGGATAAACACCCTACATGTAAGAGGTACCAATACTGCTTTTTAAACCACAAAAAGGTATGATGGTGATCCTATGCCCCACTGGGGGCTATAAGGAATGATGATGAAAAGGTATGAAGAGCCCCCCCTGTCCTTTTTATACGGGAGTCCCTCCATTATAATTATTATGCTTAAGTTAGCATGTTACTTATTATTATGACTATATATAGCTTCTGTTAAAGTTAGTGTGTTATTATTGTAACTGTATATAGTTTGTGCTGACTCAGTAATGTAGATGCAGATGTAGATGGGTCAACCTCAAATTGATAAAATAGCTATTCATGTGTTTTGATACACCCCATCAAGACACAGTTATGGAACTGTGAGGCTCCTGCCATTTTGAGAACGGTCTATGGATAAAATAAATGGGCAAGCGGTCTGGGCCCATTTCTCTGGTGTCTCCTGCATTGCTGCACCTTGTTCTCCAAAGCTGGTCTGTAACATCGGTGTGTTGATAATGCCAGGATTTAATGGAACACAAGTCAAAGGTGCAGGTAGCTCTAAGGCCAGTGCTTTAGAAAGCCCCTCAATTGCCCACTTGGTAGCACAATAAGGAGCCACATGAGGCGAAACGCTTCTCCCCCAGCCGGAGCTAAAATTGACAACCACGCCTTTTCCCGCTTTGATCATCTCAGGCACAAAATGGCGAATAACATTTGTGGTGCCTTTGATGTTGATATCAATGACATTGCTAAACTCCTCTGCTGAAATTTGCCACAGACAAAGGTTATTATTGGTGACAGAAGCATTGTTCAGAAGAAGAGTCGGCGCTCCAAAGCTTGAAATAGTTTCTTCTGACCAACGTTTCACATCCGCCTCGTTCACAATATCAACAACAGTAAACTGCTTCGGTTTGTTTCCTTTACAAAACTCGTCGTTTAACTGACTTATCTTCTGTGTCGATCTTGCACATCCTAACACTACATGGCCTCTGGATGTGTACCATTTCACCATCGCAAGGCCTAAGCCCGAAGAAACCCCTGTAATAGCAATCACTTCTTGTTTGCTCGACGACATATTCGAAGACTAACGAAGACGGAATGTGTCTGGGGAAAAAAGACTGGAAACTAATGTTCTGTTACCATGGTAACTTCCGCCATAAAGGTTTTTTCTCTGAGTAGCGCAGTTACTTTGCACACAAAAACAGAAAGAATGCAGGAAGAAATAGAAAAAGCCAAAGCTTTTCTGCTAAAAACAAACACGACATCAAACAAAAATCTGTAAGTATGTACCAAATCCCCGTTATATGGCACAAGCTTACTTGTACGATGCTTACTTTTCCCTTTACTTCTGATCCAGGTATGACCATCTAAGTGAGGTGCTAAGCAAAATCTTAGACGAAAGACCGAATAACTGCATTGGTAAGGTGTCATTTCTCGAAATTTTTCTCATTCATTATCCTAATATTTGTCAGCTACTGGAGACTAACTTCTTTTCGGCTTTCGCTCTCAAGAGCGTGCATGTAAGCTTACTCTTGAACAATTTAAGCTTATGAACTACAGGTCAACGTTTGTACCATTTCAGTACCAGAAATTTCCAGCCTTTTTATGTATCAATGTATCATTCAGATCCAAAAGTTGCTATCTCCTCCACTTAGCAACCTGCAACCAGTTTACTTTTTTTTGAAAAAAAGGTAAAGTTCACGGATTATGGGTACTATTAAAAGGCATCCGCGGTCGAGTGTCGATCGTCATACCCTGGATCGACATCTCGATCAACACTCCATCGACTTAACAAATCGAATTTGGTTTAGCGTGCTCTGTACTCTTATCGACAACGATATGCGTCATCACAGTGGTCAAAATGTTGTGGACTCACGAGGCGCAGCCGAGTGACTCCACAACAAATTTTGACAACTATGATGATGCATATCGTTGTTGATAAGAGTACAGACCATGCTAAACCACATTTCGATTTGTTTTTTACTACAATATCAACCTCAAAGAAAATGTTTTTTCAGAGCGCAAGCTGACAAAGGCATTGCATGACACATTGACGCGGGCAGCGTTGTCTAGACTTTTATCAACAATGGCAAATTAGCCAATCAGATTGTGAGATTAGTAGCAATTGTGGTAAAAATCCTGATCGATACTTGGTCGACACTCCAACACCTGATCAATATCTCGACTGACACTTGATCAACGCTCAGTCAACAGTTGGTAGTTGGCTGAGTGTCTACAACTCATTTTCGCACCGATTGAAAATTAGTTAAAATGCAACTGACTGTCGACTGAGATGTTGAGCGAGTGTTGAGCAAGTGTCAATCGAAGTGTCAATCGAGTATTGATTGAGTGTTAATTGAGGGTATCGATTGACACTTGACTGTGGATGCCTTTAGTACACATGATCCAAGTTCACTGTGGTAGCAGTTTACACGGTGAAATGCTCCACCATCGACTATCCACACAGACAATCACAAGTCCCCACCCTCTACAGTTTTTAAAGGAAGAAAGGATAAACAATAGTCAATGCAAAGCTTGGCCGGTGACCACTCCCTTAAGTGACCTGAGCTAGTTAGATCATCACTGCCATCCCATTTGATATTTACACCCCAACCTCCCTGACTGACATGGGAGGTGAGTCAGAATGAACCCCCTAAGAATAAGTAATGATTGAAATGCTGACATAATATTCCCCTAATAAATAACACAATGTCTTTTTACCCCTTTGAGAATGCCAAATTTCTTCAAAAACCCCTAAAAAATAACAAATGTTCAACAATCCTGAC